CTAAACCTAAACCTAACCCCCCTAAACCTAACCCTAACCCTAACCCTTAACCTAAACCTAACCCTAACTCTAATCCTAAACCTTAACCTAACCCTAAAGCTAACCGTAAAGCTAACCCTAAAGCTAACCCTTACCTTAAGTTGAATCGGCTTGCTTTCAAAGCGCTATTTAAAGCGCCCTTCTTTCTCCACGCTGGCTGTTGTCGCCCTGTTGATGACGTCAGCAAGGCGGTTTAGTCGGGCACGGTTTAGTCGAGCGCGGTTTTGATGGGCCACGCAACAGCCCTGCCAATATGGCCATTGTGGAGATTTCTATCCAGCAGGATCAGGAGAACTTTCTAGGGTTTTCCTCCTGGGGGCATAATTAAAACTGGACTCTGAACAGGCCTGCTTTTCAGGCGCAATGAAATCTCATTTTAAAGGGCGGGGCGGAGGGAGGAGGCCTCCAGATCTTCATTAAAGGCAGGATGGATTGAACCACGTTTGTTACTTGAGTTTTTGCAAGTTTTGTTGTGGAAATTTGGTCCCTTGCATGCCGTGTCTTACCGTACCCACAGGCCACTAAAAATTGAAATCTCACCGAATCGTGGCTGTTCGGAGCTCCCGCTGCGCAGCTATTAGTGCATGGCCGTCATGCCGAACTGCAGAAATACGCAATCTTCTCTGCCTTCATTATTCAGATTCTCACCTTAGCTGACCCTCTTGAGGGCTGCATCCCATCAACATCTTCTAGAACCCCCCCTCCCCCCCCCTCTGATAAGGGTGCATGCCTCTCCCCTCTCGTGGGCATACAGCGTACATTCACTACCAGCTGCAACCGAAGAGATGCCACTGAATGTTCCTCTCCCGCATGTGGAGGAGTTTGGTTTTGTTTCGTACCAAGGTAATATCCGTGCAGGGAAACCACTGCGTGAAACCGAGCCCAGTCTCGGTCTGGTCTTCGAATCTCGTTTCCTTTGCTCCTTTGTTATAGTAGGTTTTTTTTGACGTACTCAGTTCCGCCTTTGCAATGATGTTTCCTACATCATGGCTCCATCCAGGTCCCGGAATGGACCAAGTGCACCAGCCGCGAGAAGAGGAAGGAGAAGGTGGAGAAACCCTTCTATTCGGATTCAGAGGGAGAATCGGGAGCCACGGAATCTGCTGACAGTGGTGAGAATGGCGGAGGAGGGCTTCGGTTGAGCACGACTGTTCACTTAGCAACTTTTTGACGTATAACTAGTCCTTGACTTCGTTACCTTTAAAGCCCTAGATGGCTTAGGACCTGGATATCTGCGGGACCGCCTCCTGCCATATACCTCCCAATGACCCATAAGATCTCACAGGCTGGGCCTCCTTCGGGTACCGTTGACTGGGCAATGCCGGTTGGCGACTACTCGGGGGAGGTCTTTCTCTGTAGCTGCCCGGCCCTGTGGAATGATCTACCCGTGGAGATCCGGTCCCTTCCCACTCTCTCGGACTTCCGGAAAGCCATTAAAACTTGGCTGTTCCGGCAGGCCTGGGGCTGTTGACCCCAAAATACGGTCCAGCCCCATTTAGAACAGAGAGCATGGTGTGTTTTCTTTCCTTCTATTTTTTTCTTGACTTATTCTGTACTGTAAGCTCCCCGGAGTCCTACGGGATTGGGCGGCATATAAATGTTATTAAACTTATAAACTTATAAAGGTGATTGGTTAAGACGCCTGAAAGCTCCCTATAAAAGGGCTGCTGCCAGATAGAGTCTTTGCTGGATTGTACATAGTT